GAACACATTACCTGGCAATGTTGAGCTGTCTGTCCTCTGAGTCTCAGCATTATTCTGGAAACCCATCATTCACTACTCATCAAGGTTTGCAAACAAGTTTAATTATTAGCTTAAACAAAAGACGATTTCACACACGCAAAAAATACAATATGCTCCAAAGCCAATGATAAGTGTAGATTATCTTCACCGCTCACCACTCATCTCCTCGTTGACATGGCTTAGTAGTTGTTTTAATTTGTTCCTGAGGATCAACACTGTGGAAACATCTATTGATGTTTTCAACATTCATGCCAATCTAGTTAAGATTGTGTATCTTTTCTGTTTAGAAAGATGATTCTAATCTACTCAAACTTCAGGTCAGGGCTTCTACCTAAAGATATTAGAGAATCTTTTTTGTCTCAATTATTTTCCCAACTTTTTGTCCCACGGAAGTGATGAATTTAAAGTTCCGAAATGTTTATCAACATCATAGTCCTTGGCATTCTTATCTTAATGACTAAAATTAGTCAATTCCTAGAGGATAAATTCCATACTCACTAATAGAAGCACAATTCTTTATTTAGAAATTTCAATTATGATGGCAGTAATTTTAAGTTTGGTTTTGTGCTAAGAATACGATTGCTAAGGTCATTCATGAGTAACATCAGGGTGGGGTTAGATGTCAAAGCAGTACCTCTATTTTCTTCCCTGTCTCCAATTTTTAAAATGTAAGCCTCCCAATTAATTTTAGCAAATCTGTGTTTTTTTGCTCCAAGATTCTTTTGGATTTTTTTTTTTTTTAGTTTTTTATTTGGAGATCATCAGTTTAAATGTAACTAAAATTAAATTAATTAAGGACTAGAAATGTACTTCATTCTGAATATTTAGTGAGGTTCTTATAAGAACTGGTTAAAAGCATACTAGTTTTGCAGCCACCAGTGATTGCTTAATCAATTGTTGTTGTGGGAAGACAACAAGGTAATTGTCTTTCCCATAGTCCTCACCTTCCATTTTTCCCCTTTTCCTCAGTCTGGCTCCCAATAAAAATCACCATCAAGAAAATCAAACCTACCCTTTTGTGAAGGTTCCCTTGTTGGTTAAGAAATGTCAGTGGATAATGACACAAGATTACAACACCCCTTAGGGGTTTGCTTGTTTTCTTTCAGGTAAGGAATAAATACACATTCTTTATTTTTTTTTCCTCTAAGAATATACATTTGATATGGTCAATAAACCCTTAAAATTGCTGTGTATTTTTAAAAGTTTCTGCAATTGAAATGTGTCATTGATACCGTTGATGTCCCACAAGACCTGATGTGTGTCACCGTATACATGACACACAAAGACATTTATGTTCGTATTTATTTATACACCCTAACCACCCTAAGAACAAAATTAATGTCTTGTTTTGAGAGGGAAAGTTTACAATTAAAATCCTTTAATATATCAACTTTTCCCAATGATTTTAAATCAAGTTATTTATGTTATTACATAGGAAGTCTCCATGTCTACAACCTGTAAGTATTGACTGAATTAAGCTATTTTTCATTCATGGACAATCTTTCCTTCATTCATGTAATCTTAAAGCTTTAGCGCAAGGACAAAATAAACTTGGTTTAACTTAATTCAAGCTTTTCATTGTATAATTGAGGAAAACTGAGAGGTGGGGAAGAGAAATGACTTTCTTATACTCTTCATTAGTCAGTTAACACTTCCTAAAAAAAAGGATTTAAGGTAATTGGCAGATGTAAGACAAAAGGATAGGAAATAGAATAAGATCTAAGCAGTAACTGAATTTGGATACACATGTAGTTCAGCATATCCCAACTGGCAGAAGCTGAATTCTTCACAAAGTCCAAGGTGCCTCTAAGATCAACTGTATCAGTTACTTAAGTAAAAGCATAGAGTTCCTACAGAGGGCTGAGGTGGAAGCTTCAACCCACTACACTCTTAATTGGAAAGCAAGATATTTACCAGCTTGATTCTGCACTTGACAAATCAGTTTTTAATTGCCTATAAGGATTATTTAAAATGAAACCTCCCTCCCATTTCTTACAATTTTCTCTTTCTTTATAAATGATTGCTCTTACTCACAGTCACTTATGACATTCTTGCCCATCTTGACACCACTCTTTACACGCCTGTGTCTCACTTCCTCAACCTGAATCTGAACACTGAGGATAGGAACAACTTTACACCTGCTAGTCTTCCATGGCCACGACGGGGCATCACGTGAATAGTGATTGGTCAAAAATTGCTAAAAGTAGAGAAGACTGAAGAGAGAAAATAGAAAGATTCTTGCCTGCTCTTACTGTCTTGTGGGCCATTTGACTAAGTTGGCTGTTATGCAATTGTGTTTGATCTATGATGTTTCATGTCCTTAAAGTCCTGATCATAGGACAAAGGCTTTGTTCAAATGTCAAAACACAAGGAGAAAATACTTATTTCCAAGGGTAACTTCTAGAGGTATTTATTTCGTTTTTTTTTTCAAAATTGTGAAACAAAACATTTCAACATCTGAACATTTATTTCCTGTCAGGCACTATTCTAAATGATAAAGTAGAAACTCGTTTAATGGCTAAATTTAAGGCTTCACCCAATGCCTTCATTTGATCTACTGCAAAACTGTCCAAAGTTTAACAAAACACCTTCTTTGCCATCTTAAATCTGTCTCTGACACACACACTCTCTCTCTCTCTCTCTCTCTCTTCAACTATTCTCCATATTTTTTCATTTCCTTACCAGTACCTGCACCATTTGCTTACAAGACATTGCCAATATTTAAATACCTTTGAATGAATTCTGGCAAGAAAATTTGGCAACTCTATGACTATGGAGGCCCATTCACCTAGACTCCTTTCTATAACTGGCAATCAAGTTGGCATCCCATTGAAATGAATGGCAGTATTTCTGTTCCACCAGAATTTGGTAAGAAACTAAAGGTTCATAACATGAAATATGTTCCAAAGATAAATTTCCTTTGCATGGATTGACCCATACTATTATATTCCTTTAATACAACATAATGATTCAGATCCAGTGAAAGACTGTGTACGTAATATTCCAGTTTCCAATGGCAAATAAATACCCTTTCAAATATCATGAAGATATATGTGTTTATTACTTACCATCATTCCTCCCCCTCCTGCCCACCAACCTCTAAACTGTTTCCACAAATTAAAAATATACAAATATTAATACCATCGATACCTGAAAAAGAAAATTAAATATTATGATTAAAGTTTTTCTGGGTTATACACATATACAGATAAACATATATATTATATATATTCATACACATACGTATGTATTATATTAGCTGTCATTTGTCATAATAATGCTACAGAGCAAATCACAAGCTTGTTGATTAAACATGTCTGCAGGCTGACAGACTTGGTTGATCAAGACTGCACTTGGCTGGGGATTTCTTCTGATCTCCACTGTGCTAGAGGGGTGTCTCTGTTCCAGATGACTTTGATCCTCCTCCTGGGACCTGTGGGCTGGCCTGGGCATGTTCTTTTCATGAGGATGGCAGAAGGGAAAATGCAAGCAAATCCAATCATGCAGGTACTTTGCAAGACTATACTTCTGTCATAATTGCCACCAGTCCCATTGGCCATCTCAAGGATGAAAACGGCATATTACCCACAATAAGAGAGCACCACATACAGGGGGAGAGCATACATTTCCTTCTACAGTCCTTATCTGTACACTGAAGATGATTCGAGAGCCCTTTTTTCCCAATAACAAATGTACTGGCTTCCAGCAGAAGAATACCATCATGTGTCAGAGATTTTTTTTTATCAAATACTGGACTCTGTACAAAGGATTTTCTGCTCACCACCTAATTTAACTATTACAACTTAGAAATCATAGTTTTCACAACATTGACATGTAAGTAATATAAGCCTCATTTTAAAGATCAGAGACTGAAGCTCAACCAAGTAACTCAGCCAGTGTATGGAAAAGCCTGACTTCATACTCTTTTGCATATGATTCTGCAACATGTGCTTTCAACTGAAGCCTTCTACCACTGGCCTTGTCCCACTTCCCAACTCCATCCATCATTCCTCCCCCTCCTGCCCACCAATCTCTAAACTGTTTCCACATTATAATGCATCCTTTGTCTAAAATGCCATATTCTCTTTTCCTTCTACCTTCTGGATATCCAAATTCTCTCTTTGCTAAAAGGCTTACTTCAAATCCTATCCCCTGATTTCCCAGTGCATAAAAGCTTTCTGACTTCCAATCTCCCAGAGCCGCAATCTGTACCTGTCCACAGTGTCTGTTATCATACACTCACTTAGACTTTGTGAAATCTGCCAGTTGACAAGCTGAGGAAAGGGGGCCAATCTATATATTCCTTCCGAGTACCTATCTTATGCTCAGTGATTTTTTTTTAAATAAATGAATTCATCCACATCAATTCCCTTCTTCCAAATTTGGGAAGAACACCAATCAAGTCACAGAGAAGTCATCTGTATTCAAAAAGTCAGTTCGTCTTGTGCACAAAGTCCTTTGGGAATTAGAAGTCAGTTGCTAAAAAGTTCCTTTGAAGAAGACACTTCCTTACATATAATGGATGGTTTATAACCAAGGGGATGAGAAAAAGGGAAGTGAGTTGAGGTGAAAGAGGGGGTAAATAAAGGGCAGGTCAGAGTCTACAGTGGGAGAAGGAAGTGAAAAGAGGAGAGGGACAAATTGCCATAAACTGAGTGTTTATGTGCCCTCCAGAGTCATCTGTGGAAATTCTAAGCCTAGTGTGATGGTTTCAGGAGGTGGTCCTTTGGGAGGAACTTAAGTCCTGAAGGTAGAACCATTGTGAATAGGATTATTGCTCTTACAAAAGGGACTTCAGAGACGTCCTTCACTTTTTTTTTTTTCCACATGAGAACAAGTGGAGAAGATCCAGCCTGCACCTGGAAGACAGCCCTCACCGGAACCTGACCATGCTAGCATCTGATATTGGACTTCCAGTTCTAGAACTATGAGAAAGAAGAAATTTCTGTTCTTTGTAAGCCACCCAACCCGTGGTATTCCAATAGCTGCCTAACCGACTAGCACATAATTCTAGGCAGAAAAAGAGTGGGGAGTGGGAGATATGAAGAAGGAAAAAAAAAAAAGCAAGCAGTATAAAAACCTGAAGACAGATAAACAAGGCATTATGGAACTAGAATGTTGAAACTAAGTCATTTTGGATCCTCTCCAAAGAAGGTAAAAGCGAACAATCTTATTATTTCAGGGTGTGGATAGGTTTCCTCATAATACTAGAAATCATACAGATGTGATTTTGATCATGATGGCAGTGAAAATGGGCCCCCATCTGAAACAGTACTTTTGCCTAAATGTCAATGGCTTTTGTTTAATACATTCTATCCTTCAAACACATATTTTTTTTCTTACCCAACAGAAAGAAGGAAGAACAACACTTAACAATCATTTAGCTATTAAACTCCACAAGGCATCTCATCTTTTCCCAGCCTCCTTGCCAGCATCAGAGAGATACCCTGTTTGAAAGGTCATCACTCTGCAGAAGCTCATCTGAAGTGTGCAGAGGCAGGATGAGTCCAAGCAGTCTCCTATAAAACTTGCAGCATTTTGAGGATGGAGTGTCTTCTCTGGTTTCAGGTTGAAATTCCACACTCTCCAAGAGCAATAATCTCCTTCCTTCCTTGGCTATTTCAACCTTCATATACTTGTGGGCAAGAACATTTCCCTGGGAATCTTCCCGGATTTTCATAGTCTTCCTGAATGTGTCCTAAAGTGATCATTGGGAGTTGTTAAGTTACCCAGGAGGCCAAAATGATAGGATTTATTTAATCAGCAAACCCAAACCCAAAAGCGTTCCGCTGATTCTTGTAATTCTAGCCATGCCATGTCTTCCCCTATGTTAACAAGGTGCCAAATATGGAAATGGTATTCCAGGTGAGGCCTCACCAGGATCCCGAGCCGTGAAAATGTTCCTTTGTTCATGTGCAAAATGAAGATTTTCCTCCTGCTGTCGAAATCAAACCAAACTCATTAAATATCATGTTACAAACTCCTATGAAATTTGCCTTCTGTCATATTCCTCTAGGTCTTTTATTGGCCTTGCTAATCTCCAGGTTCTGAAGTCCCATGGAATCTCTGTGTTTCTCATTAGTTTCCAGAGATGTATTTTTCTTCTCTCTAAGTGGAATCTTGGCATCCCAAGCTCGGTCTAGATTTCTAACCTACAGACCTTATGTACATTACTGCGGTCTTGGAGGACCTTCTCCTTTGCCTGGTTTCATCACTCTCAGTAATGAACTTGGTCAAACGAAGCAAGGTGAAGTCCAGCTCAGTCAGCAGCGCACATCTGTCCTTACTCACTGGTTTGGCTTCCCACTGCCCATCACACCTTGAGTCATTGATAGGTGGACCAGCTCTCCCTGGATAGCTTACCTCAGTGGCAATCCCTTGAAGCACTGGTGCTACTGGGCTCTGGTTTGTGAATTGAGGCATACCAGAAGCAACACATGCATTGGAGGGATTCAGCTCAGTTATTTCATTCAGTTACCACAGGATACAAAATTCAGCCAATCAGAGCTGAGAAGCCCCTGTTAACATTCCACTCCCTCAGAAACCCATGGAACATTCTACTCTGTGGATCTACAAATTTCCACCAATTGGCAAGATGGAACTTTCTAAGTGGTTCCATGAGCTGTTGAAAGAAGGGATACATGCAAAAAAACAAAAATTTCCATGATCAATCAAACAAGATGAAGGACATTTCATACCATTCATCTCCCACTTGGAGAACATGCATGCATGTACATATTAATGTTTCCAAGAAGGTAAGATATATAGAAAACCATTTTACTTGAATCAAAGTTTTCTAAACTTACTTACAATGACTCATTTTAATTTCAAATTCACAGGACAAAGCTTACTAATGAATGAGTCTCTTGGTTTTTCTTGTCTGTCTGCTCACTGATGAGGATTTGGGGTTTTTTATTCCCAGGTTATTTCACTGCTCCACCCTTTACAGTTGCCCAACGTGCTCTTCTGTACTTCAGTTATGGAAAGCGGAAGAGCAGAAGTATCTTATCAGAAATCTAAAGGACATAATTTTATGGTCGACTGTATTTTCTAAAAGTGATAGCACCAACATATTTCATCCCACACACTCTTCTTACACGGTGACTTCCAATGAAACATGGGATCTCTGTTCCCATCCCTTAAATCTGGGCAGCCTCTGGCACTGCTATAACTGATCAAATATTGCTGAAATGGTGCTATGTGTCTTTCGAGCTAAGTCACAAAAAATAACACAGCACTCATTTGCCAGGTGCTCCCACGTGCCCCACCTGACTCTCAGCACACTATCTTCCATGTTGTAAGGAAGCTCAGGCCACATAGAAAGACTATGCATAATTTTTCTGGCCTATAGCATTAGCTTGACCAATAGCAACAGCTAAAAGCTAATACCTACTGTCAGACATGTATGTATTCCTTTGGATGATTCCAGGGATCTTCTCTTAAGCGAGCTAATAATGAGTATAGCAGAGATGAGCTATTCCCATGGAGCTCTGCCCCAATTATAGAATCATGGACAAAATAACTGCTGTCCTTGTTTTAAGCCACTTAGATTTGGGGTAACTTGTTGTAACAGTCATAGTCACCGGGAGAGCTTGGAGTGAGGGAGATGAGTCAACATGATCTAGGTTACTTTTCGGGACGCATTTTAATCGGAGCAATTACAATAAAAGTGAAGGACTCCTAACAAGAGAACAATCCTTTTCCAGTGCTTGAAGTGCCCACAAAAATCACCTGGAATTCTGGTTTCCTTTTTGCTTATCAAGAAAAACCATTCAAACATTTATCACATTTCCTCTTGGCACAGTGTTTACTCAGGAGTTCCACCAATTCCAGAAGGGATTGTGGGCTAGACCTCTAGCATTTCCCAGGGCTGGATGCTTGTCCTCTTCAGAATTAGCTGAACTAGCATCTCCAGAGGGGTTTTCTATCTCTCCCCTTCAGAGAATTCATCATTCTATATTATTTCACTGATTTGATATCTCGTTCTTTGCTTGTCTCTTCCCAATAGAATGCAATGGTCTTTCTTATTCATGGTGGTATTTTCCATTCAATGCCCAGCTAATATTTCTTGAGTGAATGGATAATAATGAAGGGTAATTAGAAGGTCCCCATGCTCACAGTTGGAAAACTGGCTTCTGGCAATGTCTTATAGACACATATGTATAGAATCAGGGCCTCTGAACTTTGGAACTTATCTGCAGTCCAGGTGGTTGATAGATAACTTCTAAGAGTCCCCATCACAACACTCTTATAGTTCAATTTCTTAAGGATACACTGTGGCCCAAAGTTCAACTTTAGCATACCCTTACACTATGCAAACTGTTTTTTTTTTTTTCTCACCAGAGAAGTTGCATTCAATCATTTTAAAATCTAGGTTATGGTTTTATCTGATAAAACCATTTGTTTTGGGAACATTTGGTCCTGGCAGACACACCTTTGTCCTTAGTCTAGTCTATGTGTTCCAGACATTGCCCAAACAGACAGACGGGGGTAAAGAGGACCGGACTCTTCATGCTGCTTTATAACTCCTCTCTCAAGTAAAGGCAATGAAACACAACTGCAAAATAACTTATTATCCAAATGAGGATAGTTTCAAGAGGAAAACAGGGTGCCTTTATTAATTATATCCAGAAAACAGGCCTAAATCTAAAATGTCCCAGGCAAACCAGGATATTTGTTCATTTTTTATTTTTCTAAAGCTCAGAGATTGTCACATACCTTAATTAATTTTTTAACATTGGTAAAATGAAAAGCCACTGATATTTTGATGCCTGACATGCACTTCATGGGCAGCAAGGTTTTGATCATGTTTTCTTACCTTTTTGTTTTTCTTAATGTCTTTTTGGATACAACTGAAAATATTCTTGAATTGGGCATGAAAAAATAATTCCCGACAAAGAGTTTAACTAAGGAGAAATCAGTGATGGGGCTATACATACAGAAGTGGGTAGGTTTTTCCTATTAATATATTTAACAATAAACTTTATTTTTAGAGTAGTTTTAAGTCTCCAGAAAAATTGAACCAAAAGGACAGAGTCTCCGTATATCTCCTCTACCTCCCAATGTTGCCCCTATTATTAATATCTTCCATTCAATGTAGTATGTTAGTTATAATAGATAAAACAATATTAATAGATTATTATTAATTAAAGTCCGTAGGTAGTATTAGATTTTACTCTGGGATGTACATTTTATACCAAATTTTTAACCAGTACATAGTGACTTTTATGCAAGACTGCAGTTATCACTGCCTTAAAATTCCTCTGTGTTCCACCTAGTTATCCCTCTCTCCTTCTCCCTACCTCTAGTAACCACTGATCTTTTGTCTTCCAACTAAGTTTTGCCTTTTGGTTGAATCACATACTTGTAATTATAGAGCATGTAGCCTTTTGGACTGGCTTCTTTCACTTAACAATATGCATTTAAGGTTTATCAATGTCTTATCCTGGCTTAATAGCTCATTTTTTTTAAATCTCTGAGTAATATTCCATTGAATGGGTGACCACAGTTTTATTTATCCAGTCACCTATTCAATGACATTATGTATGATCACCTGATTTTTGGCAAGTAGATATAAAGCTGCTATCAGTATGCACCTATAGGTTTTGTATGGATATAAGATTTTAACTAATTGAAGTGAACACTAAGGATCACATCTGCTAGATCCTGGGTTATAACTGGGTTTAACTTTGTAAGAAACTGCCAAACTGTCTTCCAATGTGGCCATTCCGTTTTGCAATCACACTAGCAAAGAATGATGATCTCTGTTGCTCTACAAGCTTTTAATGGTTTTAGAAGAACCAATAAAAGATATTGGAAAACTCTGATACTGGCAACAGCTGGCGGCCTTTAACGCTCTTGGACCTGGAGGGCAAAAGAAGGAAGGCAAGGCTGACAGAGCCTTGGATGAATGGGACCCCCCCGCCCCACAGCAGGTGACAACCAGCAGGAGCTACAATCGTGGATGTCAGTAGCCAATGTCAGGAAACACGTGCCAAGGACAGGTGGGACCAGGGGAATATGTACCCTAATTCTTGCTCTCCTCCTGCTCTCTGTTCCCCTGTCTGTGCCCCCATTAACTGAGCCAGTTAGAAGTTAAAGAACAAGAAAATCCATGTGATTTGGTCAGGGGACACAGAGTAGGGAAGTGAAGGCCTATCAATGGATCTGCAGGATGGGGGAGAAGGTGGAGACAGGAGAGTATACATAAGCATTGGAAAATGATGGTCAAGATATTGAAAAGTTATAATGTGGATGCAATTCTAAGAGATCTTTTGTTTGTTGTGTTAAAATGTTACATCACCATTTTTCAGTAGAGTGTTATCGAGTCACTCAGAAGAACTTTGAGGATGAGAACCTAATCCTGATCTATCACTTAAAGTGCATAATAATACTGATTTTATATAATCATATCCAGCTGAAACTCCATTGGAAACCAAAGTTCATTTTCTGAATCTACACCTCACTTTTATGATCGGCAGGTCTGGTGTTTATTTCTTATCAGCTTCTCTTGTCTTAAAACTCCCTTTGGTACATTCGAGTAAATAGTTCTCTTGTGAAAGTGAAAACCAACACAAGATTTATTGTCTCTGGATGTTTGTAAGGGTCTTCCATGGAACAAGGCAGGGTGTGGGTAGGGGATACTTCTTGTCCTTCTTTTCAACCTTAGCACATTTGTATTTGGAGTTTGTTAATTATATGCTGTTTGGAATTGTCTCAGGCACTGAAGGATGCTTAGCAACATCCCTAGCCATTACCCACTACATACCAGTGTCCTCTTTCATGGTTATGACAAATCAAAAATGTCTCTGGACATCACCAGTGTCCCCCTAGATGCCACATCTCCACCAAAGTGCATGAGGATTACTGTCCTGGTGCAAGGGAGCTTGGTAGCTTCTACTTGTGTTGTTGCCATGATGATCCAATTGTAACCTGCATGATTTGACACAGACAGTGTTGCATATTTTTGGAACCAAAAGATTTACA